GTGCAGAAAAAGAATAATAGTAGTATGCAATTTATTAATACTGCTAATGTTTCCTTTTTAATTTTAATATACGCGTATTTATTATTATATACCCGAGAGGTCTAACCAAAAACACTACCGTGTTTACATCAATCAATTTTATCGACCTAGCGGATAAATCAGGCCGATAAATCAGGGTCACTGCAGGACCCAGCGAACATTGATTTGCTAGATTCTACAATAACTCTGACTTATCAATCTGATAATTCGCTGAGTCGATAAGATTAATAATGACATCTCGTTGACAGACGTTGCAGCCGTATAAAGGCGACGATAATGACGTTTCTTAAAGTAAAAATCGGACTTTGTGTAGCAATATCTCTGCTTGTAGGGCACGTAGCAGAAAAATAAAAATACTTTTATTATGCAAGTCGGACTCAAGCTATCGATCAAGCCTACGTAGAACTTGATCAGTATAGCCGTTATTGAGATTCGATAATTTCAGATGCTCGAACCTCGACGACTCGCGTATAGTCACATGGCAGTGTTCTCGGTTGACTTGACACCCGAGACACTACCGTGTCTCCTGACACCTTTATATTATTCCATATAAAAGGAAACCCCTCAGGATATATATTATTGGTAAACAAACTGTTAACTCTTTATAAAAAATAAATTTTTTTTGCGTTTACTTCTTCAACAATCATTAAACTTTGTTCTACATCGTCGTCGCAAGTAATAGAAGCAGATGAAACGATGCTATTATCATTATTTTTTTTATTTAACGTGGACAATAATTCATTTTGAACTACAGAAGCAGTTAATTCTAATAATTCTGGCGTAAAAGTAGATCTATCGGTAACAGGAACTTAGCATGTTTGAAGAATCTTATATGTCTTATCTTATTGTATCTTATATGTCTTTTCTGTTGCCTTTTCCAACTTGCCCTTTCAATGGGTCATAGTCTTTATTTCTTTACTTTTTTTAATTTGCATCGTGGTTTTCAATGAGAACTTCTTTCAAATCTCTTTTGATACATTCGAAATTCTGCATATGAATCTTGACACAGGCATTCTCTTCATATGTACAAACTTGTAATGCTTGAGAATTTTATAATGATTATCCGGAACATTGCTATCGCGATATAAACCTACTTTCGTAAGATTCACAGCAGATCACAGTGGGAAATAGGACATTAAAAAGTCTTCAACATACCGAAGAAATTGTTGAGACAAAAAATCATTTTTAGTGTTAGTGCATGCACTGTTTTTCAATGCTTTCATTTCACTTACTTGAAAAATTTTCCAGTATGGAGAATTGTTTGTTACAGACGTTGTCTCTTTTTCTGCCTCCGATAATGTGTATTCCTCTCGAACCGTCCAGAATTTCGTTGTTCTTAATATTATTATCTTCGCCATCATCTGAATCATCGCTGTCACTTTCTTCTCTTTTGCTTACATCACTTCGTATATTTCTAATAATGGAATGAAAGTTTTTAATCTTTGTGGGTAAGCCGATTACTTGCGCGAACAACTCGTAGATCTTAATAGCAGATGCTGTTGCTATGCTGTTGCAGTGCAAAAACTAACAAATATGCCAACAACTGCACGTTGAAGCCATTGCTTTTTTGTATTCGGAAAACATTTTTCGAATGACAGTCTTTATCAGGTGAGAGAAACATATATGAATAATAACAAATTTGATTTAAATATGATTCTGTTTCTCAGTAATATTGTATGTCAACTGGAAGTATTGCCATAAAGTCATACTATTAAATGCCGACAAACATGCATGAA